TGGTGCCCCTTTAGGGCTTAAGGCACTTTTTTCAGACACCATTTTGGCTGTTCTATGAGCAACATAAAGTTTTTAATTAACTATAGCGAATGTGCCAAACTGAAGAGTGAAAAAAACATTATTACAAAAATATCTACCAAAATAACAAACAAAATTCGATCATAATGAAGAGGGTTCGAGGCCCAACACATGTCGCATGCATAATAATTTGGAAATCGCATTTACGCTGAATATTTGCTTAGCGCTATATGTTTAAAAATGCAATTTTCCATATACATCTGGTATTAATTAAGCGCACGCGGCGTATACGCAATATTTGAAATGCAACTGCAAGTATTATGCACACAAGTGCATAGCAATTTAAAATGCATTTGCAGCACATAATTGTATTATTATTGTTAATAGTTAATGTGTTGATAATGAACGAGGGCTAAAAGCCAGCGATGCGTTTGGTTTTTCGATATATGAGTGGGCTGGCTGGGATTGAGATAATCTTCATCAGCTGATCTGAGTGAAAAAGAAATATATAGAAAAAACAAATTAGTTTTTAAATTTCAGCATAGATAATGAAAATATTTTTAGTCACTTGACTTTATACTTACTTTTAGCTAGTAAAACAGGGTATCTTTGGTTCGAGCATTCTCCGTTTGGGCACTCACTTGTGTTACTTATTTATTTATTTGTTGTGTTTATTTTTCTTTAATTGCCCATAAACAACAATTGAGTGCAACAATTGAAATACGCATGCAAAATATTTATTATTAATTTGTGGCTGTCAACCAGCTGCAGAAAATTATTGGAAAAATTCTGTTTTTATTTATTGTTTTTGCATGTATTTCTTTTGTTTTGTTTTTTATTTAATTGTGTTATTTTTCATTTGCTGCATTCTGTTTATTAAATGGCAAAATGTGTGAAGTATAAATATTGATGTTGTTTATTTATGAGCAAGCGCGTTTACTGCTATGTCGAACAGGATACGCGCTTTATTAATTCGCAATGTCATAAAAGCCAACAAATGCACAAAGTTCTCATGAATTGTTAACAGATTGTCGCCAATGAGCGAGCAAAAACTACAACAAATACACATACATACATTTAAATTAAAGAACTCGCCTGGCAAATTGAACTTAATATTGCCGAAGGATTCATTCAAATTGCGGCTCGATAACTATGCAAATTGCTAAATAATTGCGAGCTCTAAGGATACACAAATAGTGTAAATGAAATGTTTGTTTAAAATGCTATTCATTTATAAGCTTAAAAATTATGTTGAAATGTGTTTTTTTACTATAAAAATGTAAGAATAGAATGTATGAAAAAAATCTAAAAAAAAAATCTCAAAATAATTTCATTTGAAAAAAGTGTTAATTGAAAACTTATGGATTTTTTTTTTTTTTCAGAACGTGCCTGAAAATCTTACAGAAATGACATATCACAAATAAAGTTTTAAACAGAGTTTTCTTATCCCAAATTTGAGGATTTCTGTATGGCAATCAATGAGCTCGGTTAATGCAAGAAGTGTGTTTCGGACAGTTCTTAGTTTCTTTATGCTATTCCAAAGTGCAAAGCCAAAACTCAAGTAGCTTCAAATAGTTGGGACATTTTTATGACAGCAAAAATCGAAAAACTGAATGCTGAAAAGCAAAGCGCGTCAGTAAAACGCATTTCCCGAGGCGATAAAAATCAATTTTCCCATCCAGACACGCAAACAGCAGCAATGACAGCGCCGACTGACTGGGAGACTCTGAAAGGGAGAATGATTGAGAGCAGAGGGAATTGGAAGGGGTATGAGAAATTAAGAGACACATGCCAAGACGCATGCAACGTGCAGCGAGGCACAAGCGACGACAGCGACACAACTACTGAACGAGAAGAAAAGAGTGCGATAGAGAGAGGGAGAGGGAGAAGGAGGTGGTACGGGTGGGGGAACCAAACATGAGGAGCTGCAGCACGGGAGATGGAATGCAATGCAAATAGCTTTAAATGCATTTGACGATGCCGTGATTTGATTTCAATATCTCAGCGTCTCGTCTCGCCTCCCTCGGCGTCGTGTTGACTTTCAATTTCTGTGTGCGCGCACTTTTCTGATTATAATTCCAGTGTTGACAAAGTTTTCGCCATTGTTGTTGTTGTTGTTGTTGAACATTTGTCGCTGCATTTTTGTATTTTGGCTTCACTCCTTTTGTAGTTGTTTGTTGAATTTCAATTTGAAGCTGGCTGGAATTGAGGTATTGCTGCTGGGGGACTTTGCCATGCGATTGCGCGTGTGTCCTTGAGAGCTAACTGCAAAGCCTTCAGCGTGATTGCTGTCTGGGGAAGGCGTTTAGCTGATTGCAGCGCCGACCAATGAGGCGTATGCGTAATAATGCAGACTTGCATAGAAATCAATTCATTTTATCTATAAGTAAATAAATCAGCGAATGCATAATGTGATAGCTGGCAGTGATAGAGAGAGAGAGAGAGAGATAGAGTGGGAAAGATAAAGAAGGAAAAAAATCTGCAATCGATCATTGTTTGCTTGGGATTGCTGTCAGTGAGAAGAAGAAAGGGAAAATGCTCATTGCTTGCGTTAAGCACTATAGACTAAAGTCTAAACAACGTTATGCATTCGTGATGTTGCCGCGATTCGGAACAGTGCCACTTATCAGATTGCGGCCAGCTGCAAGTGTTATTTGAAACAACAGCTCAATGTGTGTTTGTCAGCCCAAGAATGTGGCACAGCAAACGTTGGCTGACAGCTCGAAATGGCAAGAAGGAAGAAAGTGACGCCACCTAGTTAATTTTCGCCAGTGCAGGCAATAAAGCAGCTCAGGCAGCGTCACGTGCGCATTTAAGTTGCAAGTTACAATGACAACTTGCTGCACACACACACACACACACACACACACACACAGTTAGTTAGCGCATGTCAGCGTAAATTGAACACACAACGAAACCTGACGCCGCATACAAACTAAGCCGAGTTGTACAACTGACAGAGCGAGAGAGAGAGAGAGAGAGCGCAGAGACGGAGCAGCTACACTGCGAGAAACAGTTCATTCTATCTCCCTATCCGCCTCCCCCTCCCCCTCACCTTTACTCCTGCTGCTGCAATCTCTCTTCCGTTCACGTCTAGCTCATTTTGTGGTATATTTCTGAGCGCGAGTGCAATAAAAAGATGCACCTGGACGAATACAGAGGCAGTCACTGGCAGTTTTTCTCTTCTCTTCTTTTTTTTTTTTTTCTTTCTGGCACACGCAGCATAACTGGCTTTGAAGCGGGCAGAGACTGCGCTGCATAATCAGAAGCGCGACTGTGGCAGAGGCGACAACGACAACAACAACAACTGCAACAGCAGCAATAGGAACTGTGACAACAAGCACACCAACAACAATAACAACAACTACAGCAACACTGACAACATTTATCATATGAAACGCACGTGCCAAGCGTTTGCCAGCGTTGTTTCCGTGCCGGCACGAGCTGCCTGCTCGATAAGTCAGCCCGACGACGAGCTATACATATAGAGCGAGGGTAGGCTAAAAACTTTTAACTTCTACTCTACTACTATATATGTATGTATGTATATCTATAGAGTCTACTCTCTAGGAAAACTATGTCAAAACACAGCTCTATAAGCTAACAAAAGTCTCTCAACTCAATATCTCTCTCACTCTCTCTCTCTCCCTCCTTGTTATTCATGGGCATACCAGTATTATATTTGCTGAAGCTGTTGCATTTGCTGCTGCTGCATAATTAGATCGGCTAACGTTGCTGTGTGACAAGAGTGGTGTTTGGCCTGGGTCATGAGTAGCGCTTGGATGGAGGCATAATTCAAATATGCTCAAGCGCTTCTTAAGCCGCTTTGGCAGAGTGCCTAGTCTAATTTAGTTTTGCTGGCTATTGACTGATTGTGCAAATAGTCCCAGACACACACACATACACACATATATATGTCTATGATTGGTGGCAACAGCAGACGGTGGTAAGTAAACGTTGCATAAACTTTGACGCAGACACAAATTGCATTCTGCTGTCAGGAAAGTTTCTGCACCTTACAACCAAATGCCAGCCAAGTGTTACATTGTTATTGTTGTTGTTGTTGTTGTTTGAGCTGCTTAAGTGCCATGCATTGAGTTGTTTTCCCAGCACCCAACGACCCTTTTCACCCAGTCCAGCCCTCTCTTTGGTGCACTTGAGAAAATCGAAGCCCTGGGCGCATTGTTTTTGCAGCCGCACTTCAACTTGAAAATGTTTTGATAAACTAGCTGGCTATGCAAAGCAGCAAATGCAGCCAAATAGCAAACTGCAAGCACGCAAAAAAGATAAGCGAGCTGAAAATCAACTGAGGGTAAACACAAGACGAACTTTAAGCCAAATGCAGCAGCAACACAGAGCGAACAGTTGTCAAAATGCTTGAGAAACAAAAACAATCCACCAGCACGAAAAGACAACTCGAGAAAAGAAAGAAAAGACAAGAATTGAGTATAGTGAGAATAGTGAGGAAAACTAAATACACTTGCTTATAAAGCACATACTAAATAGTTCATAATAGAAGTAAGCAAATAGTAAATTATTTTCGATTTTTCCTGTTTTAATAGATTTATACATTTACAATTTTCCTATAAGTATATGTCATTATAATAACTTTAAGTTGACAATTTTCTCTTCCACTTCAAGTCTCGAATTCCTTAAAAGAAGCGCAAAGCCCAAGTGCTCAAATATACCCAATATATAGCAGCGTAAAATCAACAAAGAAACTGAATTGGAAAAACTTGTGCCACTTGAAAAACAACAACAACAACAACAACAACAACAGCTGTTTCTACTTCAAGCAGCAGCAAAAAGCAAGCGCAATAAAATTGGTAAAACAATTGTCAATGCGTCAATTTAAATGGATTTAGTTTCGAAAGGGACAACAAACGCGAATCAACAAATACGAAAGCAGGCAAAGAGAAAGCCTTGAGAAACTTGCCAAGGAAAAGTGCTCGAGTTTGTTCTATGGAAGGGGAACAGAGTCAGTCAGTCGTCGAGCTAATCAAGCAGCAACAACTCGAAAAGTGAGTCCCACATTTGGAGAGGAAGCAAACTGTGTACGGAAATTCGACTCACGATGAAGCTGCTTTGGCTGAGCATTTGGCTGCTGAGCCACAGTGCGGGTAAGTGGTGCGAGGGTGGTGCTGGCGGTGTTGTTGGCGTGGAAATCAGCTCAATTTGTTGTCCACAGTGATGCAAATAAATGGGTATTGCCTCAGGCAGTCGCTGCCCATGGAGAATGGTGCCGCACGCCACATGTGGCGCGCCACGGGCTGGCCGGCGGACACAGGCAGCTGTGCTGGGCCAGCAGCTCTGCTGCGGTCAGCCACTGACGGCGATGGGGCAGCAGCTGCAGGCCTTGCCACGCCCAATGCCACAGCCACAGGCAAAGCCACAGCAGCATCAGTTCAAGCTGTGAGCCTGGCCAATTATGTCTACCAATGCGCCAGCAAGCGTGCGCCAAATCTCTCGCCTGATTTGACATCAGCTTCGAGCCTTCTACGTCCCTACCAGTTGGAGCGGCAACAGTTGACGTTGCCGGCGATTGCAATGAACCTGAACCCGGCCAATCTCTGGCCTGACAATTAGCGGAAAATGCAGGCGACACTAGCTGAAAACTCTTATTATATTTTTTATTGCATTTATTTTGTTATGAATTGAAAAGCCGTTGTACGTTTAGTAATAAATACAGCCAATATTTAGCCGTAAAAAAGCTAAAAAATAAATTTGCTTGTCACTGTTTAGATAATTTTTCTGTATATGAGACAGATTTGAATTATTATTTAAATGTTGTTTTTCTGCATTTATTAATTTATTTTTTATGTGAGTACGATATGATATGTCTAGAGAATGCTTTCTAAGGTTTCACTATAATTTGAACAAAAACCAAGAATATTGTAAACTAGCCCATGAGCAACTGCACTTGAGTCTTGAGGCAACTTTTAGATGAAGTTTGATATAAAGTTGAGAGCACCAACAACAATAAAGAGGAGCCCATAAAAGACTTGAGTTGAGAGAAACAGACAGAGAGAGAGAGAGAGAGAGAGAGAGAGAGATAGGGAAAATGAGTAAGGCAAGTTATATTCAAGGTATTTTTAGTTTATTTGTGTACTTAGTTTAACAAGACTTTCGCAAGGTTCTTCGAGGAAACGCATTTGATAGCAAATATGCTTATTTGTATATCAATCAAATTTGATTAATGTATACATGTATGTATTATTGTAGTGCAACACAAATTGTCGCAGCACACACAGCTGCAGCTTCTGAAATAGTCGAATATACTAATTCTAATTATGCTACAGCAACATATTTACTCTCAGCAAAGCCGGATGTATGAACATTTCTAAGGAGAGCCGCAAATTAGCGCACTCCATTTACAGCTACAACTCCTTATCAGCTTGTGGGGCTAAGAGTATCTATACATTATTAAATAAGAATTTATATACATACATATATATGTACTTCCACATCAATTTCATGTGCCATCACCGTTAGTTTAAATTGTTTAAATAATTCATAAAATAAAGTTTAGCTCTGTTTAACCTCTCTGATCTGCCCATGAATATGTCACACTAATTACTATAGACACGAGCTGACGGCTACTTTCATATATGTTTTTAACGAATAGACCCATTTCATTAAGTAGCTAAAAATGGAATACAAATAGACGTAGGATAGAGCGTAGTATTGCAGTTAAAAGACTGCTATCTATCAGCTCTTTTTTTTCTGCTTCTAATTAGCTATTTTTCTCCTAATTGGGGAGTAACCTAAGCACGCGCAGCGCAAAGCCAGCAGACAGTGAAATGATTAGCTATCAGGCGGCGCTCTTGTCACTCTATACGTTTGTCGCATTCGCCAGGAGCAGAAGCAGGCATTGGCCCATTGGCGGGGCACGGCGACTGGCTATCATTAAATGGCGTGCATTAGGCTTAGTTAGTGCGAATTGCGAAATTTCATGACTGTTGACTGCATGCCGACCTGGCATACCTGTGCAGCTGCAGCTAGCTGAATCATAGCCGGCAATTGGAAAATAGTGGCACTGCTGTAATTTCAATGAGTGGCAGAAGCAGCGGCAGCCACGCCTATCTCCCATATCACCCCCTCAGCAATTTCGTTAATTTTCCAACTGCTTTGCGCGCATTTTCTGCACGCCTAAAGTTTTAATTAAGCCAAAGCCAAAGTGCTCTTAATGCGTGTGTATTCACACACACACACGCATACACTCACACATGCACATATGCATTGAAAGCAGAAATGTATGGCATTCATAGGAATAAGCTCCCTAGTTGCCTTTTTATTCATACAAAATACCAAGACAATTCCAAAAAATATAAAATAAAATATATGTGTTACAATATGGCGCAGTCACCTCTCTCGCTCTCTCTTTCACTCTTCTCGTCATCTATCCTACTCTTTTGGACTTTGTTAAGCCCAAATGTGTTTGGTCTCTCGTTGCGGTATTATTTTGTAGCCACGCGCCCGCCCCACATAATTTCAAAAAGAGCAACTGCCAGTTGCTCCTAATGCTAATGGTAATGCGCCTTGCTGCGGCTTGGCGTGTGTATTTCAAATGCCTGCGGCCCGGCAGTCGGGCTGATGGACAGACAGACAGACGGACAGGGTGGCGCATCTCTTATGTTTTATTAGCCACGTCTAATTGAAATATGCACGCGTGTGTGTGTGAGAGAGAGAGAGAGAGAGAGAGAGGGGGGGAGAGACAGGTCTGAAAAACTCACTCAATTAGCAGCGGCCTTTGCAGTGCCTATTTATGCACATAATTAAGTCAGCGAGTGTTAATTTTGATGTCCATTAGCAGCAACTCTTAACGCGAGCTCCAACACATTCTCCGGCAAGCATTGCCATGGCTGAGCTATGAATACTCTTTCCAATTTCCAGCTATGCCAGGCTAAGTCAGGCTCGAGCTAGGTCAGTAGAGTAATATATGTGTATGTAGTATATACAGAAGTACTTATATGTTATGTCTGTGTATACATATATGTATTTGTTTATTTATATATTTGATTCTCTTTTGCACAGTCAACACTTTGAAAACATGTGTATCGAGTTGTGTGTGGGTGTGTGTTTGTGTGTCTGTGTATCTATTATTTTATAGCACACATACTTCACCTGCATGCATACAAATTTTGCCTCTCTTAATTTTTCCCATGCAAAACATGTAATTTTTACAGCAAGCGTCTTCAATTTCATTGCAAAATAAATTGTGTAAAAGACAAATCGAACTGCTATGGGGTATGCTAGAGTAAAAGCTACTCTGTAGTTAAGATAATTATTAATTCATTTTGCTTAAGACTAGTGATTTTATTTAATAAATAAATAAATAATATCTATTATTTAATTTGAGGATAAAAACATGTCTCTTTTATGACTAATTAAATGACTAATTAAATTGCAGCAACTCATATATGATTTCTTTTTCTACTCTAAACATTACTCATTCGATTTTATAAAATTTCCAAAGGAAAAGTTTCTTATTAAATTTAGCAAACATTATATCTTTGTATAGCCAAAATTTGCATGCAACTCAACTGATGCAGACCGTTTTGAGAACTCTCAAAAAAAAAAAAAAAAAAAAAAAAAAAAAAAAAAAAAAAAAAAACAACACAAACTTGTAAATTGTCTATTTTTCAACAGTTTATTTAGATTGTTTTCATAGCTGTGCGTACTTTGTTTGCTGGATAAATGTCTTTGCTGATTTTCAATTAAACTTGTAGATTGGAGTACGGAATGGATGGCAGAGCTAAGGTGAATCGTATTCGATGATATTTTTGTTGCTATTTTCATGTTTTCTGATGGCTTAAGAAAATTATTAAAAAAGTTTGGCCATGAGCAAGATTTATTTGCTTAATCCAAATAATGTCAAAAAGCCACAAAACAAGCGACAGGCGCATAAAACAACTTAGCAAATGAGCCCAGCATACACACACACACACACACACACACACATAGAGAGAGAAAAATGTTATTTATTGTTATTACGAAAATAAATAAGCAGCCAGGTCAGGGCGACAGCCACACCCCCTCAGAGATGCAGCACACAAAAATGTGGCAAAATAAAAGCGAAGAAATTAAACAACTGGACACACATACATACATATGAGCGCACAAATACACTCACACATAGCAAATGGCAGCCATTTTATATGCCATTACAGTGTAAATAAAGTATTGTTTATGTGTGCACTCGTCTGTGTGCATGTGTGTGTACGTGTGTGTGTGTGTGTGCCAGTTACATTTACTTAATAACCTGTATCAAAGTTGTACTTTTTATAGGTCAGCCAACAGCTGCGGGTGTGGTCAGACAGCCAAGCAGAAGCCAATGACATTACGACTATTGTGCCAAGTTCGAACTGAGCTGGAGCTGGAGCAGGAGCAGGAGCACGAGCTGGAGCAGGAGTTGGTCGGAGTAAGCCCAGAGGCCAACACTTTATCAACAGACGCTCAATACTCGTAAAACTGTCCTCAAATTATTTATAGACTTGATTTGGACACTGCACAGAGAGGCACAACGAATGAGCGAGACAGAGAGAGTGAGAGAGAGAGAGAGAGAGAGAGAAAGAGAAAGAACGACTACTATGGAAAAGTAACAAAAACTAATTACGACTTTCACTGAGCAGCATCACAGAAGCTCGAAGCAATTCGATATAACTGGCTTCATTTAGGTATAACACAATTATTGGAATATATAACCTACATACATATATATATATATATGTGTATAACATATAACAAATGATAATAATGATTTGGAATTCGAGTTTATGTAAGTAAACAGAGAAAAATGTGTATATACATTTATATTAATATATATTTATATATAGTAGCAAAGTAAATAGTAAATATATGCTTTAATATATTTCATATATATTTACAAATATAATAAAAATTATTAATTAGATATACCCCTGTTCAAAATATATTAAAGTAGCATAATTTGTAAATATTTCGTATATATATTATTACTTCTTTTACCTATATATGTATATTTCATTTGTCGAGCGACCACTGTACTTTGAAAGGCTTTACTTTACAATACAGTGAACAAATCCCGAGCTTTTAATGAAATTGCTCTTAAAGTTGTGATAAATCTCTGGGGAAAGCCAAACAATGGAATCACATGCAGCATAGCAGAAATTAAATAATTAAATGAAAACGAACTAATTTATTTGCACTTTTATCTTGCCAAGTTCTTTACGCCATTCTGTTTAAGTAAATAAATCTTGGGCTAGCAATTGTTGCTATTGTTTTATTGATACTGAAAGGAGCTTGGGCCACTAAGGTAAGTTTAGTTTCAATTTGTTGGAAAGCCGATTAGAGTGGCACACGATTGATACACACATACACATACATATATACATATATATAAACTTGTTCAAGTAGCAATCAACAGTCATAAGTGTGCTATAAATGGTTTTTTATTATTTTCTTTTATCTATTGCTCAATTTTTTACGATAGAACGCTGCCCTCACGACCCTCTGGCGTTACTTCGTTCACTTAGCTTCGATTCGCAGCTCGCTGCCTTTTCCCTAACTCTTTTGTGTTGCTCTCGCTTGTCCCTCGTTTAATCCGTTTTAATTTTGTCTCGTGTTCTTTGAACTTTGCAGCTGTTGCATGTATGCTCTCCCTCTATCTAACATCCTCTCTCTCTGTCTTCTTGCGCTCTCGTCTCACATTCAATC